GATATAGATATATATATACATACAGACACACACGTGCGTGCGTTCGTATATATATTAGAATTAGAACCTGTAAGTTCACCCTGCAAGTTCAAAATCATGTTGTTCAAATCACAAACAAGTGTGATGACTTAACATGACAATGTCTACTTTATGTATAACTAATAAAAACTAAATTGGAAGAGTCCTGTATCCTGGCAGCAGCAAACCAAAATCAAGGCAAATTTCTTTCTTTCCAGATGAGATCTGAAAGGTGGATAAAAATCCAGCTGAAAGCTCCAATCAAAACACATTTTGTTAAATGTTCCCATTTCATTTTTTTCCTTCATTTTGTTTCAGTCTATTTATTAATGCAGTTTCATTTATTTCTATTCATCTTGAAGACAAATCTTTGTCCTTCTATAGAATTACAGCAAATAGAATGTGATAAAGGGAACTTTCTTGCAATTATGATGTCGGTGCAGCCTGTCAGCGCACAGGGGATGGAAATGAGGTTGGGGACAGGGAAGGGAATTCTAATAGACACCATGATACATACAATGAACGCAGCGATATCCTGTGAGAGAAAGACTTGTCAAGCTAATCAGATCTTCTATAGCTAGGTAAAGGCAGTAACGGTAGCGCTAACCTTGTAAAGATGCTGCTGCTGCTCCTCTGACATCATCAGGTCATGGCTGTCCATCACGATGGATTCCATGTCAATCAGCCAATCCCAGAGCTCCTGGTATTCTGAATCAAAGTCCAAAAGGCTGTAGATAAGGAACAAAATGTATTATGCATAAATACTGTGTAGTTGTTAAAATCTTGTATTAGAATAATATATTCTTGAAAACTCATGATGTTCCAAGTTATATTTCTAAAGAGACATTCTGCATTTATACAGAGTGGATGAAAATGAAAACTGAAATCCAATTTAAGCCAGTGCCATGACCTAAATTCAGTGGCTGATGCCAAATCCTGACAACTGTTGGCATACTGCATTTGCTGCAAAAATTCTGAAATACAAATCCCCAATAGATGTTATTGTTTAATGGTTTTTATAGTGCTGACTTTATATTGAGCAAACTTTGCAACAATCATTTTGATATAATTCATATGAAAATATTATTTTCATCAAAAAAATGACCCAATCCATTCAGCCATCCCTCTCCTGTCTATCTGCCTATATCTGTAAATATCCTACATTTATTTTCATGGATGAGTAGCTAGCATTTCAACTTAACGCCTTAAGATAGGCTTGAGTGAATATGGTAAGCCAGTGAGAACTAAGGCCAGATACAGTATTAGACAGGTGTTCCCTACAGACATGTAAGAAACAAAGGTAAGGACAGGAAGTCAAAACAATGAATCCTTGAATAGCCAGCAATCATTAAAATTCAAAGGAGGATCACTACGGTTTTCAACAAAATAAATCATTAGAATAAGGAGCTTAAAAGGATTAATGTGATTCTCTATTGAAAGCCTAGTGAATAAGTAAAGCATAGATTCTTCTAAAACACTGTGATACAAGACAGAAGGTACATGCTGAAAAACTGCACATTCGTCAAAAAGATACCTCTTGAAAGGGGATCTTCAAACTTGCAAAATTGGAACTAACAACAGCCTTGCTGGTAGTATCAAAAAACTTCCACATTGATCAAAGAATAGGGCACGTTCCACTAAAGCTAATTTCTCCAATTATTAACAACTTTTTCAGCAACCTCATTAAAAAAATAGCAGTGTTTCAACAGAGAAACAATAAACCAACATTTTTTAAATGTTATTAGTACTACCACAGTTTCAGTTGTTATTAACTAGAGTACCATATGTGTGGTAATTTTGAAAGCTTATAGATAAAGTCATGACAAGTAGAACTGTCTTTCTGTTAGAAAGCAGGCGAGAGAGAAGAAAGCATTTGCCTTCTGCGGCATTATTTTCAATGGATTGACAACAAAGGAAGTCTTGAATAGTGCACAAGTGTTGATTCCTGCTTCTGAAGTAACTCTCTAGTTTAATCCACCGCATTTAGGATACTTTTACTCAATAATTTATGAGGTGCACTTACTTAAAACTACCCACTGCCCTGAAAAGGTAAGCAATGTTACTATAAAAAAGAGCAAGCATAAAAGGGCAAGTCACTATTGATGAAACCTAATAGTTTCATTTGCAGTTCAGGGCTTTTCTTCTGTTTCAGGAGGTATTTTAAAATTAAAATAAATCTGAAGTCCATTTTGAATAGTATATTCGCAGTGAAACTGAATCTTTATCCCTTCCTCAGAAAGCAGCATAACAACTCTGTATCTTCAATACCTACTGCTCCTTTTCTTCCCATCCATCTTACCCAAATATTATTCAAAGTCACAAAACTGACAGGCAGTTATTAAAACATATGTTTTATGACATAAGATGTTGGATTTCATATCATGTAAATTGGTACAGATTCAGCTGGACTTGGATGGTTTGTACCAGTGAAAGACCTAAAGTGAGATATGAAGATGATGTGAAAAAAAGCCTGCATCCAGCATTCATGACCTGTTGCTGCTAGAATGGGATGGGATGCCTTTGTAAACTGCACCAGGAAGTGGACTGAGATTTTACTATAGCAGGTGGAAGATGTGCTGGATTCAAACAGCTGCTTTGTGTCTAAAGAACCACATCTTAGTTATAGCCCAAATTGTTCCATCTATTGGTGTAACAGAATGAACCAATCCCTTAAAGAAACAGTAAAGCACTTTTCTCTGTCCTTTAAAGAACCCATATAAGCACTGAGAAACAGCTGAGCATTTTGATTTCAAACTCATGTTCTAAACAGAAACTCAATCCAAAACTAAGTATGAGAGAAATCCACTGCAAAATGCATAGGAAAAGATACAAGATGTAATGGGGGATATGTTTTTCCCTATAGTTTACACAGTGTGCTTATTCTCTTCCTTTTTTTTCCTTTCCCCTGCTCTAATATAAAGTCATCTGGGAGCATTTTTTAAGCAAAATGTCTCTGGCAGTTATTTGCCTGAGCCTGAAGATAGTGAAGTCAGCTGACAAAATCATCATCAATATTTTTTAAAATTTGACTGCAATACTTTTAATGGTTTTAAAATATCTCTGATATATAGATTAAAAAAACCCCCAGCTTTGTCTTTAAGATAAATGCCTTGCATCTAAATGGATGGATTTAGTGATCACTATTAAATTACTGTTTGGAAGAGGATGCAAGTTACTAAGCTGCTAAAAAGATATTCAGAAAATCCAGCAATTGTAGGATCAGTGACAGGTTAAGATTAAATTGTACCTGTCAGTATTTCTGTGGTATATTTAATATTTCTTTTTTATTCAGAATCTACTTTTTTCTGAGCTTAGCAGATCTTTTTTTCATATTGCCATAGGCAAAACTAGGGAAAGCATGACTTCTGTAATACTGATGTGTGTTACAGATGCAAGAGCTGTAGAAAAGATTTAATTTTGGTTGATTATCCAAATCCACCCATCACTAAAACAGGAATATATTAGGTCATCTGTATATTAGGAAAAAAAATCATCCATTAAAATTACCCAAAGAATGCTATAATATTAGTTAAAGGGCAGGTAAATACAGCTTCCTTAATACAAGCTTGTTGGTTAATAAGCTAAAACCATTAGCTATGTAATAACTAAAATGACATTAAGAAGTATATTTTGTCTTGGTAAACAGGGAATCAGATATGCAGAGTTGCATGTCTAATCCCTTGAACCCTAAACATATTTCTTAAAATGTGGACATCAATTTATTATTTTGAATGAAAATTCATGAGCACTTTTCTCATGAGAAAACCAGTTCATCTGTGGCATTAATAAATAAAAAGGAATGTAAAGTTATTTCCATCAGCCTTTTTCTCCATGTTTAACACACACTTTCAGTTTGTAGTATTTCTTTGATGACATAACTCACATGGTATTTAGAAGTACTGTAAACACACTGGTATGTCTACCAAAAAATTAAGCTAGGCAAAAAGTTCCTTCAGATTTCTGGGTCATAGTTTTTTTGAACTCTTTTCACATGTTTTTGTTAGGAAGATAAAGGAGAAAGCAGACTTCTGACCTTAACAGTTTTAAAATTGCCTTCCATTCTGCACATACTTGAAGTTCCCTATAATGCATTTGTCTCAAAGCTGCATCCATGAAGGCCCAATGCTAGCTGATGACAGGATCTTAGGATCTGGCCTTCATGTTGTGCAAGGGTGCTGTAAATAATTGTATCCATTTCTCCCAATAGTACCTGTATGAGATCCTCCCCAGTTTTAAGGGGATGCAATATTTCCAACCAGATTTGCTATAACATTTTGCAGCTGCTCTCAACTACTCTTGGCTACCTCTTGCTGCCTGGCTAGCTGGTGTTCTCCTGCAGGGGATACCCATTCTCTTTTCTTCCGTTTTCACTTTAGCCATTTTCATGCAGTTACATACAAACCCTCTGTATTGCTATTTTAACAAGACCACTGTTCTGCAAGAAATTGCCTGTCCTTTACACATCCACTAGCATCACCCTATTCTGAAAACACTACCCTTCCTATCTCAGTTTAGCTATTTCATGCACAAAGCCACCTCCCAAATCTCATAAACACACACATACCATATTAAAAATTATTCATCTACAATAACTCTTGTTCTCCCTGCGGCTAATCTTCTTTCTCCTAGGTCAAACTCCCACAACAGCTAATGGATACATACCCTAATTTTCCCAGTTGTGCAAATGACCCCCTCTCTGTAGATGTCTCTATCTAGCTCATACTACTGTAGAATTTCTGTCCACGGTTTTTATGCAGTACAGAAATGTTGTATCAACTGTATTTTCAAATAGCTGAAAGGCATTTCCTTTGTGTTCAATACAGTACCTCAGACTGGCTCAACTGGAAGTTTTCCATCTGTATTTAGTCCCCTCTAGTTTCTATAATGGTCGAATACACAGTATTGTATTCATCTGACTCCAGCCTTTTGGCCCCAGAAGCCATTCTTGAGTCTCTTGGTCATAAGGGTCCAGAAATGTGGCCACAGCAGAGAAAAGGTAGGGAACACTACCAGATGACCATTTCTGGTAATGAGCATATGTTTATGAGTGCAAACAAGTGCATTTAAGAGCTTATTTACTTACCCCATATGTGATGTGAAGTTACAAACTGGATTTTTCCATGAAGCTTAAAGCTTTATATCCCCTATTCTCAAGAAAATGAAATGTCTGTTGATGTGTTACTGTCTTACATCCCCCACAAAATTCTAGCCTTAATTCTTGGTCACATTCAATGGTGGCTACAAAATTAGAAGCTGTTTTGAACATGTAGCCCTCAGTGCACATTTTTATACATATACACAAATTCTGAACAAATTATTTTTATGGTTGGCACTAGCTGCATCGGCATTTGAGAATCTGACAGATTTCTGCATATGTAATCAAGATCTCAGTAATCCTACATAATTAGCCCACATCAACTTTTCTAAAACAGTCATCTTTCCGTATAATAAGAGGGGATGTTTACAAGGCTCATTTATCTCTACACTCGGTAATTTAATAAACCTGTGTTTCCAAGACCTGAGCATTGACTTAACAATTGGAAAGGGAAGTTCTGGAGATAAAGAACGCATGAACACTTGGTCAACAACCCTCCTTGCATACGAACCTGCAGGCAAAAGTTCTACTGTATTGACTAGTTACAAGAAAATTTCTCTCAGGATGAGGGCATACCCAAACAATGAGCACTAGTTGGCTCCTTTGAACTGCTTTTGGCCCACACTGTTATGATCTCAGAGGTATGGGTTTTGTGCTCATTTGGCAGTGCTAGCAGCTGGAAGACATGGTTTTCCAAAGACCTTAAAGAAAAAGTCTTAATCCAGAACTGCAAGGTTTCTTGGCTATGAAAAAGGGAGGGCAGCAAGAATTTTAGCACAGTCCAGTGCTTTTATACGTACATATATAATATTTGTGGGTATGTGTGTTTACATTAATTAAAAAACAGACTGAGAAGACCAAGTCAAGGAAAAAGAATTAAAATTAATGCCTTCCTGAGGTACAAAACTGAGGTGTTTGAACTATAAAGTGAATGGCTTCATATTCATATTTCCTAGTCAAGAGAACAATGGTTCTAGAGATATTGCAGAGGTATAGACTTTTCCTTGAAACATGGTAAGAAATGAAATGATATGAAGCCATCAGAGGAGAAAAGCCTAAAGAAAAAGGACACTTTACATTTTTTTAAATCCAGATAGGGGATTGCTATGAGATAATGTTAGATAGTTGTAAGAACAAACCACAATTTGGATGAATTATCCAGAACCCATTATTTTTGCATTCACATATGAAAACGCAAATATATAGAGAGACAGTTTTCCCCTGCCTCTTGGCCTAGGAAGAAAAATCCTGGTTAACTAGAAGTGAGAAAAAGTATATCATGTAAAAAAAATACAGATCAGTGAGAATAAAACAACAAAAAGAATAGTTCCGTACCCATTACTTCCCACTGTGTGAACTTTTGACATATCAGCAAACTCTTCCTTGCGCTTGCTACTACTGTTGTACTGCTCACTGTACAGTTTTAAGGACATCTGTTCAACAGCATCTCTTTGTGCTTCCAGATAGCATAGCTGAACCTCAGCCTAGAAAAAGAAGAGGGGAAAAAAACACAACAGAACATTGTTTTAAAAAAATCAGAAATAATGCATTTAAACCAAGTAATTTTGGACTGCAACAATTGTAACCAAATGATTCACACTGTTACTTTCTCCTTGCACGATAGTGAAAAAGGCTGAACCATTAAGTCAGAGAAAAAGTACAGTGTAATCCCAAATGTTAGAAATGAACTATTTAGGTTTTGATCATAAAATGTGTTATATATTCCATGAGATGTATATCCAATCAAATGTTGTGTAAAAATGACTGGACATGAGTAAAAAATATATTAGAAATCATGCACTGTGATAGAACAGGTAGTTCCATACAATTACATGCCATACAAGCTTCAAGACTGATATTGTTAACATACTGCTTGTGCTTCATAATTAATGAAAGCCATATTGCTATAGGTATTTTGTTTAAAATACTAAGTGTAAAGAAACACAAGCAAATTGGAATTATTCGCATTCTGCTTTCCCATATCTGGTGCACACTGATTACTCAGCAATTTTAATTGCAAGGAAAAAGGCAATAAGTGAGATGTGCTGTTTTCCATCAGACTCTGTGCCTGGCTAGAAGAATGTTGAATAACATTTGGCATCATAACTTATTGAATAGACACTTTATTTATTGCAGCTGTGGTGATCAGTTTGATTTTGAGGCTCAGAGAACCAGATGATACAAGGATAAAATCTGCTGTTTGCCATGCTTGCCCCTAGGAACAGGACAAAGAACAGAGGGTAGGGTAAGTTCAAAAGCACTTTGGGACCAATATGCTATTGTTTTCTTTTAATATATTTTATTGAAAGAAAAACACATTACATATTCTGATAATGCTTCAAAACCTGCTACTTCGGTGTAACTACATGATCTTATTTCCATTAGGAGGGGAATGCCTGCTTAACTATTTGGTGCTATGGCAATTAAACGCAACAAGCATAGGATATTTTGTGTAAGGGCTCTCCTGTATTTTCTACTGTGGGAGGCAAGGAAGTGAAGTTCGTCTGCTGACAGCACGACAGAGTTATCAATCTATGGAACCACAGTAGCCAATAAGAGAAAGTAGTGAAAGGGCTAGAGAGAAGAGAGGTAATCTGCAAAATGTAGGAGACATAAAGCAAGTGAAGGGAAACAGGCACTGAAGAATGTCAGTAGGAAAAGTCTGAAGGAAGGCTGGAATGTCTTTATAAGCCAGTGGTAATAACAGTTTCCTATATTTGCTTGTTCCTTGCCTCGGTGCAATTTTTGCTGAGTAATAACGTAGCTGATTAGGAAATTCCATTTCCTTTTGAAATGTCTCATTTAAACATTTACAGTTTTCTCAGCTGTTCTTACAGTGAGATTAGTTATGTTTTTCAGTAATCCCCAATATGTTTTTAAGAATTAAAAAAAAAAACCAAACAGCAAAATGAAAAAAAAGCCCCCAAAAACCCAACAGAAAATATTAACAATTATCCAGAGAGATAGAAGGTAAAAATTCCAACTAATCCATGTGGATCTTTTAGTGTGCAAATAAATGTCATTCAAGGCTTTCATACCTACTTTAAAATAGTGGAAAATTAAACCACAGAAGGTTATCAATGAAGAAACATTACCTGAATATAAGATTAACTAGCTGAAATTTCCAGTTAGAGTAAAATGCTAATATTTGAGAGCTAAAAAACTTTCCCGTCTTTTCAGAAACTATAACTGCCATTTATATAACTCAGAAATGACCAGAAGCAGAAAATAAACAGACATCATCACCTTCCTGTTCCATTTATACCCCTAAGTACATTTTTCTTTAAGTTGATAAACGGTCTCCTGCTTCCATAGTATACAGGGGTTCCTGAACAAATTTATTTTTTTTAAGGATTCTTCACCAGTAAGGATAGTCTTCCAGCTGAGTATTCCATAAGGCTATGAATTTGTTGGTTTAGTTTATTCTCACCACAAAGTGTTTATCCACTCATTGTTTTTATTTTAATTATACATGACACATTCAGTCTATGGCCCTGTTGTCAGTGACCAGTAAATTACTAAAACAATTTGATACATCAATTCAAACCTTCTGTGATTGTTTTAAGCGTAGAGGGGAAATCTAGAGGAAAATTTAAAGCAAATAATTTCCTTGGTTTTCAGGATAGGTTTTTAAATTAAGATAAGTAATTCTTGCTTTTCTCCTATGAGTTTTGTATGGGTTTTAGGGCGCGGTATTTTGGCTCTTGAAATTATGTATACAACCTCTGTTCTCCCCTCCCACCCTAGTGCTTCAAAAAGAGGGAATTCACATGTAACCTAAACTCTAGAACAGCACATGTATGAGTTAAAACTCAGCTCTGGACCATATGAACACATGCTATTTCTCAAATAGCACAACTATCCCAATAATTGAAATAGCTTTTTTTTTCTCCAGCTTTTTCTAATTCCTCTCCCTATAGTTTCCTCTACATTTAAAAATAAGAAAAATAGACATCAGCTTTTCACAGATTTTTCTTTCTCCACTTTCAAAAATATTTGTAAATAGGCAAACCATTAATATATATGGAAAATGGGAGAAAAAAAAAGAAAAATTAAATAGAAATGAGAAGAGAAAAACAGGATGCAGAGCATAAGTAAATATATGAAGAGTAAGAAACCACTATTTCTTCCTCACAGCTATAAGGCTGTCTTGTACTCAGGATTATGAACTCCATCAACATCATACTCTATGAATCCTGAATACAAGCAATTGTGTCTCAGTTCTTGTACCTCAGAAATATGATCCCTCTATAAATCAGCTATTTTTGTTTTTAAATCCAATTTCTGTCTTCAACAACTGTGAGCATTTACAGCAACTCAGACTCAGACAGCGTAGAGTTTCAGATGGATCTCTCTGATTTCTTCTCTGTATGTATTCATCTATCTCACTGTTGTACTTAAGCATTTTCTTTTTGTCCCTGTTCTACAGATATCAGCTGCAAATCCAAAGAGGCTTTGAAAATCTTGAGTAGGTATTGATCAGTTTAAGTCTCAAAAAACTACATTCTGCAGAAGCTGAACTAACAGGCACAAGGCACAATATAGAAAATAGTACAGAGCAAAGACATGCAATAAATCTACTGCAGTTTATTATCAATTCAAAATCTTTAGTGGTAATGAAGGACTAGTTTTGCAGTATTCTGGGAGAATAAAATAGTAACTTTGTTAACCAAATATAGAAAAACTACTTGCTTTACCTTTTATCTAAGTGTAGATTTTCAGATTGCCCTACATACTCTTTCTTATTGCTCAACACAACATTAAGAACTTAATCTCTATCACAAACACACCTCTATGGATATGCATATCTAGAAAACCGTGATAAATCTACTGGAATATGCATCACCTCAAATACAGGTAATATAAATTGGGTGGGTAGCAACTGTTCATTTACTCTTAGTGCCTCATCTTAGAAGTGGAATTCAGTTCCTTCTTTTTTATCAGAGGATGCTGCATATCAGAATATGTGGAAAATTGAACATGGAAAAAAATGCCAAGGAATGATACTCAGCAGTTGTTTTCCACTTCGTGGTCCTCTTCTAAATCACCCTTTTTGCAGTAAAAAGACAATAAAGATGCTGGTGATGGTCTGGTTACACACTTGTACATCTTCTCTACCTACCAGGATGGAATGAGTTTAAAATATTCTGTTGTAAATTCAACCGAGATGTTTTCAATAATCAAATGACAAAATGCTCTCATTTTCCTGAGCCTTCAGGATCCAGTCTCTGAACAAGACTGTGAAAAAACAGTAGTCTCTGGGGGGAAACAGTGAAAAAAATCTAGACTAGTGCCAAATATTCAGTTCTAGTGATTGATTAATAATGGTAAATAATTCCATGGCTATTGTCAGAAAGCTCATTTTCTAAAAAACAAGACCTTATAAATAAACTGAGGGAGCCTGAGGTGCAGAATCTGTTCTCTAAGACTGGCTTTGCATGACAACATAGAATGTCCTTTACTATACAGATCACTATATAACATGAAGGGGTAATCAGTGACTATACAAATCAATGAAAATACATTGTATTTCTTGTTAGACCTGTGTGTTAGAATGACCTTATTCTGAAGTGAAGAAAGACAACACAAGGGATAATGGCTGTTACTGTGGGAGGAAGGAGATTGAAAGGTTATATTGTACACAGAGTGTCAAACGAGAGACTCAAAATTTACACCAATGTAAATTGGAGATATGAACTCAGAGCCAGTGGTTTTGTGCTGTAAAAGTTTTCTTTATATGGGAATGTACTAGAATAAATACCATTGAAATGGCATTGAAAGAAAAGTATTTTCAGACACTGCTTCCCAGAGAGGACAGGTCTTTTCTTATGAACTATATTATTGTAAGCAAACTATTCTGTTGTTTCAAATATACAAATTATACATTATGCTGAATTTGAATTATGAAAGTATCCTATCTTGCATTATCCTTTCTCTACAGTTCTGTAGAAAAGCTATACCACTGCCACACTACACTGTACTTAGTGAGAATTACATAAGAAATACAGACATAGTTCAGTTCCTTTGCCATTATTTGAACTTAAGCTGGATAAAAACAGTCTCTTAAAATAAAGCATAAATTCCAGTTTCTGCCAAACAAGAAGGTGGTCAGATGGCCCTTTGCAGCACATATACTTAGAATACTCACCTAGATATATTTTATAGCAGTGCAAACTCAACTGCACCATTCTGAAAGAATGCACATCCCAGCTTGTCACTCTGTATATCTTTGCAATTGGCAAATTTCTCGAGAGATAAAAATGAGAGCAATTTTTACCAGAATTAATTCGCACAGAGTAGATTTATGTGGTTAAATACTCGAGCATTTTCTGTTGTTTCTTTGGTCACAATATTTTGGCTACTTCTTCACATTACAAAGTTGTGGAGAAGGCTTCATTAGAGGACATGAAAAAGACTCTAGCTCTGTCACAGGACAGCTACTGAATAAAATTACGTTGAGGAATATATGGCTCAATGTATCTTC